GTAATATTTGTACCGTGTTAAACTTTGCTGACCATTACCAGATGCATGAAGGCGATAACTTTTTATAGCTTTAGCAAGGCAGTAACTCTCTTTTTGATCACTTTGGCTGTGAAGTTGCGATGTTTTTCCATTCGCCCGGCTGGCCACAAGTGACCCTCTTTGATTTGGGATCAAGCTGAGCGCGGGCTGCTGTCCAGAGCTAGCCAGCGCCGGGTTCTTGAAAGGGGGCTTGTTTTGTTTGCCAGGGCGGTCTATGTGAGCTGTCTCTGTGTTTGAAAACATGGGCTTTGAAATACAAGAGGTTTTATGGTGTTTATGCCACATATCTGTGTTTACCTAATCCAGGCCATGGAAAATAACTGCTCGAGTACCAGGGCTGTCGCTATGGCTTCTACAGTGCTGGCTTTAAATCTCAAAGTAACAGCAGTACAAATATAAGTACGCTACTTCACTTACTACTTAATTGTACTATAGGCACTTTTTAAAGTTTAGATGTTTTGCATTTAGTAGTTGTGTGAGAAGAATGTGTAAAGCCATAGTATATACATTGCAAATTTCTCTGATCTGACCAATATCTTAAAACTTATATCAGGTTATTCATCTTGTTTTCGGATTTAGTATTTACTTACTAGGAATGTAATGATATCCAATTCTCATGGTACGATATTATCACGATATGCATCTACGATATTTACTGCAATATTTTAAAGAGACTGATTTAATTGTAGATAGGAAAATTTTTTGCTTTTAAAATACCTTGACAAGATTTTGGTGTGAAATATTTCCACCATAATCCCAGGCATTCAAGTAAAAAACATATTTCTTCATGTTGTCTGCACTGAAATGAATCACGGGATATGTAGTTTCTGATGTTCATAAGCTGTTGCTACTATAAAACCATACATTTAAGCAAAGGAACTTGTAATTCGATATATTGTGACAGTCCAAGATATTATTGTGAGACTTTTGACGATATGATATCACAATATTATGGTTATTGTTACATCCCTATTACTTACTAGTTCTGACACTGCTTGATTCTAGTCTAGAGGTAGTTTATTTTAAGATAACTTGTCAAGTAAAATTATCTTGCTGCATGGACAGATCAATTCATTTTTAAGTCATTTTCTGATTGATTAAATGTTTATATCTTAAATTTTGGCCAAGCTTTTTTGCAGTGTAACTTTTTTGACTCAAATAAAATGTAGTTTTTTCCCATTATGTATGTTTTTAGTGCAGTAAAAAACATTGGAAATTTACATAGTGCTTTTAAAAGTTGAGCGGACAATAAAATTTTTTAGCAACTGGTAGAGCCCTCCTCCAACCAAATAAGAGTCAGGTTTGTGGAGACACAAGCCGGCTCACAGTAACGACGAAAGTGTTGTACTTTTGTCAGTGCAGTAAACTAGGGATGTAACAATAACCGAAATATTGTGATATCGTATTGTCAAAGTTCTCACAATAATATCGTGGCCCATCATAATATATCGAATTACAAGCCTCTCTGCTTAAATTAAGAGTTATGGTGCAGAAATAGCTAAAAAAAAAAAAGACAGAGGGAACTACATAGACCATGATCCTTTGCTCCATTTCAGTGCAGACTACATGAAGAAATAACAGTTCTAAGCACTTTTAAGTTTTAGGTCTTTAGATTAAGTCTTGTCAAGGCATTTTAAGAGGAAAAAGTCGCATATTAACAGTTTTATCGCAATAAATATCCTACCGTGAGATGTATATTGTGAAAATATCGTACAGAGAGATTTAGATATTGTTACATCTCTAATCGTGAGCCTCCCCACCATATCGTGAGCTTTCCCAAGATATTGCAATAAATATCGTACTGTGGGGTTCATACCATGATGATATTAAATTGTGAGACTTGGATATGGTTACACCCCTACAATAAAAAATAAAAAAAGATGCCTATTTTTAGCCAAAAAGTTAAATACCGTGGCTTTAGTTAGTCTAGGAAAGTGGTATACATGTAATCAAGCACATTGAATAGAGAGCCAATTACAAATCCAATTCAAACAAGGTTAAATAGTAATAATTCTCAACAGAACAATTACAATAAAGACTAAAATGGGATTACTCAGGTCTACATACGTGCGTGTTTTCTCTGGCTTCAGACAACATGAATTCAATAAGGACTCACTGACCACAGCTGAGGTCATTGCTCTGAGGGGATCCTGTTGATTTACAAGTAAATTTGGACTTTGTGAAATCACCCCCTTCTCCAGTTAAGTCATAATTACTCATTTTCTACATCTCCGTGGTTACCTCAACCTCCTCTGACCGCTCGTACAACCTCAGAGATAGAGCCAGCGATGATAGAATGGATGTGATTTGGCTAAAATTCAAAAGCAGGCAGTTTTTTTTATTTTTTTTATGTACGCTCTAAGTTCCTCCCCTTTTGGAGTGGAAAAAGAGGCCATGAAGAGCCCCTAAGTGAAAACAACTGGAACTGAAGAGGTTTTTCCACCAGTCTCTTCAAACCGGCCCTCAGCTCTAGTCAACCACAGCTAGTGAACTGTACATACACATACATCATAAACTCTATTGTGAGCAGACCGTATAGCAAAATAAGAGGGAAAGATGTCAACATGGAGCCAAGAATTCAGTTCTATTCATGCTTATTTTGTTATTTTATTTCGATGTTTTTAAGATTTCTGGTGCATTAACGGGACAGTATGCAACTTCCTAGAGGTGGCATGTCATGATTCCAATGAAACAGAAAGTTATAAGCATGTTTCGTAACTTTCTCAATGGAGGTTTTAGTGAATTTTATGCCATACTGTGAAAGAAACAACATCTCCATGGAAACAAGCAAGAGAAATAAGAGTAAGGTTTGTGGAGATGCAAGACACTCACATGATGCTTTTTCAGTGCTGTAAATACAACTAAAAAAACAACATGCATTTGTGTTAGAATTTTTCTTTCTAAAAAGTTATGTACAGTGGCTTTAAACTCCCAGGATTCTTAATTTCTCTTATGGATCAATATACACTACCGGTCGAAAGTTTCAGAACACCACAGTTTTTCCAGTTTTTTACGGTTTTCTGTTGACCAAAACGTATTCCAAACTTTTGATTCATGAAAGTGTCCACCTTTGGCAAATATAACAGTTGAACACACTCGTGGCTCATTCTTTTTTACAATAGAAATCAAATATTTTTTCAGAAAGTTCTTCCCAAGTCTGTTGCAGAAGTTCCCATAAATGTGTGGCACTTGTAGGTTGTTTGTCTTTCACTCTTCTGTCCAGTTCATCCCAAACCAGCTCCATGGGGTTTAAGTGTGGAGACTGTGCTGGACACTCCATGTTTTCAAGTTTATCATCTTGTTCTTTTTTCCTGAGGTAGATTTGGCAGAGCTTGGACTTGTGTTTTGTTATCGTTTATCTTTTTTTTTAACCTCTGGCTGTTCAGTACTTACCCTTGTATAATTTCAAGCTCTTTATTGGACTTGCATGGCTTGAATTGCAATAAATAACTGGAAAAATTAGGGTGTTTTAAAACTTTTGACCTGTAGTGTAATTTCTCTAAACTACATGTGATATTTAAGACTTTTAACATTTAATTGGACAATACGCTTTAAAGTTTATTATTGTGTGTTATGTTAAAACACAGGAAAGAACTTGCGAGATCTACAATTTGATCAATTATTTCACCACAACTATGGTTTCAGTGAGTTGGTTTCAGTTACAGCATGTGTAATTTGTGATTTTTGGTTTTGATAACTTAAGAAAATGGACCATGTGACTAATAAAAATTATTACGTTCAACATTTGTACTGACAGTTAAACTTCCACTAATGTCCGTGCTCAACCAAGGAGGAAATTTTGGATTTTACGCAGAAACAAGCGTAAAAGAAACTGGCTTTGACTTCATAATAGTGTTAGTTGGCAGAGGTTTGCAGTTGGCAACACATCCAGAAGCAAATTATATAGTACATTATTACCTGGACCTATACGCTGGGCTGACCATAATAGCATACTCTCCATCACAGTGCATTCTCTAGGCTGTTTTCTATCACAAAAATCGCAATTACAGTATATGTCTCTTATTTGACAACGGGAATTGCTGTGCATTTTTCCATGGATCTGTTAAAACTTGGCCGCAACATTATCCAACCACACGCTAACACATTAAAAAACAGCCTATTGTGTAGAGTCATAAATGTAAACAGACATATACGCTCCAGTAATGCTAACCTACAGAGAGCAGCTAATGGCAAACACATGTGGGAAAGATGTGCCGCTATTAGTGGTTTGGGTCTCATTGTGAACTCCATCAAAACTATATTGAATTATACGGCTGTTTGTAATGTAGCGTCCATATCAGCAGTTCTCAGATGTTTTTGTCATTGAAAATCGAAAATCAGACACTTTCTTGAACAAGTATCAGTACTAAAACAGAAGCTTGTCAGTAGTACCGAGTATCCATATTATATTTTTTCATTTAATGTACTTATTATTGAGTAGTTGAATTTAACTTTGATAAACTATGATAAAAAACTAAGAAAAATGACTGCTTGTTATGGCTGACCCCATGAACTACTTAAAATGAACTAAATACAACACAATAATGTTATAATAATCTATGTCAGTGATTCTTAACCATAGAGCCGGGGCCCAAAGTAGGGCTGGGACCACCTCCTTGGGGGCCACACCAACAGTACAATATAATGCATTTAATATGAGATTGGGCCCCAGGTTACTTTGTTCAGAAAAAGTCGGGCCCCCAGATTGAAAAGGTTAAGAACCCCTGATGTATGTCACATGTAAAACCAGGGTATGTTCTTTAAGTAAATATGGATTTTTCACAAATTCATCTAAGCCTGTCCAAATTCTTTCATTGTTTATTCTATAATTTTGCTAGTCTGGATCAGGTTCAAAGATTGTGAAAAGAAATGTAACGTTGTCCATTTAATAAACAAAAATAATCACGATAATAAGTAAGACCGTTTATTACCTTGAGCACTTTGATCTAACTTGAGCTTACCTGTGATATCAGGTTCTGTGGACCCGTCCAGCACGACTAAAGACTTAGTAGCAGTCTTGGTGTTCATCACCATTGCCATGATCTTATCCGCCGACAGAGAATCACAGGATTCATACGGCTGTAAGCACTGTGAGAGAAAGAAAGGAATAAAACAATTAAAAAAGATTGAATGGTCAGCAATCTAATATGAATATACTTAGCTATATACAGTACAGTATAATGTATGTAGAGGGTAGTGCATACTACTGATGCAACGATATGGTTTTCCCACGATTTCATACATATCTCGATACACGGGTCATGATATCGATTCGATTTTGATACGTTTTAAGATGCAAAAAAAAAAATCTCATGTAATTTTTCCAGCTATTGAGTATAATATAATAACATGATGTTAATGAAACAACACATACATTTAACACAATACACATCGTGCTTCCATCCTCTTTCTGGACACTAAAACTATGTTATATTACATAGCAATGTCTCAGCGGACCATTTTCTGAGTAAAACTAGACAGAGTCTAAGAAAAGGATCATATATGTTGTGTTGCATTTGATTAAAGCCGATGTCAAGCCAAAAGAGATTCTAATGTATTTATAAGTTAATATCTTTGTCATTGCTGGGTCTATCAACGTGACATAAAAAGTGACAGAAAGATAAAATCCACATCTGTTAGAATATTTCAGCTGTAAGTCCCCATGGAGCTGTTTTCTTGTTGCATCTGAGAAGGATGCTGTGATAACTGTTTTCCTTTTGGTCCAAACTAAATGACATCACAGCGCGCATGGAGGGACACGTGTATTTTGACACGTGTATTGAACGAACACCTGTATTGAACAGTGACACCAGCATCGAACAATTCAATATTCTATCAAATATCGTTGCATCCCTAGTACATACACATTCAAATAATAATATATTAGCTACATTTTGATTAATAATAATATTACTAATGCATTAGGCTTATATAGTACTTTATTTTAAATGATCAAAGCCTCTTTACAGCTGTATGCATTATTCATTCACTCCACACTGGGTAGTAAGATATTATTGTAGCCACAGCTGCCCTGGGATGAACTGACACAAGCAAAGCTGCCAATCTCTGATCATCACCAACACTCACTCACTCACACTCACTCACACACTCACACACTCACTCACTCACACACTCACTCACTCACTCACACACAAACACCCTCACACACAACACCTTCATACTAGGCAGTGTGGGTTACGTAAGTGTCTTGCCTAAGGACACAACAGCAGTTTCCAATAGAGCCAATAGTGGACCACAGCAGCACCTGGTATTCCCATCAGTCTCCCATCCAAGTACTAACCAGCCTCGCCTCGCTCAGCTTCGGGCATTGAGGAAGCGGTAAGAATAGTATTATTGATTTATGAATGAGCAGCTACATTTGTACTTTATTACATTATTAAGACGATTGCTTTATTTATAATTTACTCTGTTTTTATATGATGTAGCAAAATAGATGTTAAACCACTAGAGCACATTGCACAATACCATCCACTTCCATTCAAAATGTTTCAATCAATTCCACTTCAGTTCTCAATAGCACCACTTGTGTTTATAGAACCCATGGGCACAGTACAGAAACTCTACCACTGAAATCTTTGTACTTGACAGCTTACGGCTCAATAACTTCAGGATTTGCATTGTCTGGCCTCTCCTGTTGCGTGTTACATGGAGACTAGAGACAGAGGATCTCTCTAACACCCCTGACACACCGCAATAAAAGCAATGTCGTAAATCTCTGGACTGCTCACCGCTGGCAATGATCCCGAAGACTTTTTGGAGCATAGCGACATATCACAGTGGAGGAAGAGCAGAGACGTGTTGAACTTTGAGTTGAAGTTGAAACTGAATGTCTTCTTTTGGTTCTGGAGGTTCTGGTCTGGGTAGAATTTGATGGAGTCGTCCGTGGGGCAGACGGTTTCGATGAGGAGGTAGTCTGAGGGGCCTCGGGGGTTGAAGTTGGGGGAGATGAGGCATGAGATGATGGTGAAGCTCAGGTCTGGGTCGGACGTGCCAGAGGTGATCTGAAGAACATTAAGGAGTGAGAAGAACTATTAATCACTGAGCAGAAAATAGCTTTGGTGGCATTTTTATGTTTGGTCAAAGTTGAATGAAGGGTCAGTACTGAACTACCAACTACATTAGTACCAGAGGTGTGCAAAAAAATGGAAATATCGATATATAGTATCTTTTAATTTGATGATACAGTATTGATATCATGGGCTACTGTGTTGATATATCTGCAAGAGTATTTTTAGGTATATTTTACAAGAATGATTTACAATTGTGTTGACATTTTCACTGTTTCAAGTAAAATGGGTGTTTTTCATATTAATTTAGCAAAAACGTAGTAAACTTAGTCGACTTAAAAGACTTTTAGTACAGGGGTGTCAAACTAAAATTCACAGAGGGCTTAAATTAAAAACTGGGACTAAGTCATGGGCCAAACTAAATGTTTATTGAAACATTTCAACAACATCTGCATGTTTTCTCTTCTTTTGAGATATGTAATGTTAAACCTTTTCTTATTAAAGTAAATATTTAATAATAGTTTTGCTTAAACACTGAGTCCAGAAGAAGCAGAATATAAAATAATAACAACATTTTAAATAAATAATGTCTCTATAGCCTATCTATAGCCGGTGGTCCAGCTCTAATACATATTTGATATGATCTTGCAGGCCAAATATAATTATATCACGTGCCAAATTTGAGTTTCGAATCGAATTGATTTGAAATATATCGTAATGAATCATACTGAATTGAAAGTGCACTGTATCGAAAAACGTATCGTATTGTGGCCTATGTATCGAGGTATGTATGTGCTGAGTTTGAGATTATATCTTGGCTACTACTAGAGTTGTCAAAAGCAATTGAAATCAGTAACCGATAGAAGCTAAAACTAGTATCAAAACTAGATACTCATTTAAGCAGGTATCGATACTAAAAAGTTTCACAGGACATAATTATCTTGAGCTGTATCAGAACAAGTATAAAACCACAGACTAGTATAAGCCCATGGACCACTGTGGAACAAACCTGGGTGACTGAGGTTACACAGATTTCAAACCGGATGGTAATATAAAAGAAAGTAATGATTTTTATATTAAAAGTGACATTCTACTGTCTAAAGAAGAGTGTTTTTTATTATGATTGATGTATCGGAATCCGTATTGAGTATCGAGTCTGTTCCTTAGTACTGAAATCTAGCTGCCAACCCTATAACCAACCTAAACTCTAAATCATATTATTATTAAGAGATTTTTGAGTTGTATGGTTATCAAAATTATATATAAAAAGCCAAATCTGATATGAGTATTCTGATTTCTTTCTGATCATGGTCCCTCAGATTACTAACAACAGATTTTGTGGTTTGGATGTCATTTTGAAGATCGTACAGATCCAGAAATCAGATAATAACCAGATTTTTGTGTGCAAACATGGACACTATTTAACTGACAGTTAAAATGTTAAAATGATTTCTGTTTGGATAAAAGAATACAAAATAAGTGTTCACTAATCTCAGTCAGCATTTGTAGATTCAACCGGATAATGTACCTATAATTTGTATCCAGACACACAACATTAACTGCATATTAAAACTGTAATGACTGAACGTAATGATCTGAAACCCAGCAATCAAAAGATACAGCTCCTACCTTTAAAGGCTGTGGTTACAAAAATAAGATTGCGTACAGATTTTTGATTGTAAATATAGCAGAATATTCAACGGAAATTCATGTTTAATTTATGCCTTTTTGTTGCTGGAAGGAAATTACAAAATGGACGACTATGAGCCTAAATTACTTACTAAAACTATTATAAATAATGTATAGGTGGCCTTACATGTTATTGGGCAACTTATTAAGCCTTTATAAATTATGTTATTAGATCAGTTATTAGATTAGAATATTTTTTTCCTGACACGTTTGAAAAACAAAATGACTTTGCGCACAATGAGAACCATACAACTCCTCTATACAGAAAATAAAAACATCCCAAAGAACCTGAAACACTAAATGGAAAACCAGCGCAACCAAATGTAGTTTTTTTAATATTTGAAGAATTGCATTTGACAAAATAATGACGGGTTACAGTGACTGCTCTAAGAGTGCACTGCAGAGAGTGACTAGAATTAACTACTTTGGCTTCTACGTGCAATATGGAAAAACAATGGGACTGTTTATTGAGGAGTTGTTGTTTTAATTTAAACCTGGTGGATCCACACAAACTGTTTACAATTCTTTGAAAATGACGTTGCCAGTACAGACAGATACTGGCCCTGCTCAAAAACTCAATGCCAGATTGTGAAAAGCATGTTTCCACTCTGAACCACAGAGCAGCCCCTGTAGTCATTATCCTTCCTATTTTCCCCTTAGATTTTCTGCAGACCTGCTTTCTAATGATGGCTCTATCTTAGGATAAACAGGGGTATGCTAACTATTAAATCAAACATATTTAACCAAATGTATATGTACTGTGATGTATTTGTATTAATTTGTATAGCAACCGAATCTATAAATCTGTTTTTGATTTTGAAACATGCAAATATGAAATACTGCAATATTTTCCAGATTGCACTTAAACAAAAGGCCATTCTGAAGCGCTGGCTCCGGTTCAGACTCGGCTCAGTGTGAGATCTGGTTCACAAAGTCTTTATAACTGTCTGCTCTGTGTCCACACTGTCACTGGGGCTTCTCCTCCTCATATCTCCAGAAAACAGACACATCAGAGAAAACCGCTGCTCTCTCTTAAACCTGATGTGTATACTGTATATTATCACTGAGTATTGTTGCACTTAAAAGTCCTGGACCTGATTTATTCTCATGTATTTGAGCAAACTGTGTCTTGCCCCAGTACAGATATATTATATAAACAGGTCAAAATAAGGCTGCTAATTATAAAGAGCTTTGTCATGTGATAATCAGGAAGTTGCACGTTAGCATGCCATTTGTTGTTAAATTTACACGATGGTAAAACTCCACTCTGGTCTCTGAGATTTTGAAAAGCAGGTTACACTTTATAATAAGACATATCTACAGATCATTTGTAAATGTTTATTAACCATTAACTAATCATATACTAAAAATACCTACTTATTAACAAGGGTTTAATAATCATTTACAAACAGATAAAAATGTTATTACATATTTATAATACATTAATACATTTCATTAAGAATTTTTTTTATTTATTTATAACAAGGATAGCGCATAGAAAACTCTAATCTTAGATTTAGCTACAAACTTTCAATCTGCAGTCCTTGGCCAGGTACAGAAAACATTAAAGAGCCTATTTATATAGTTGTAATTTTTAGTAAATGTTTAGTTAATGGTTAATAAATATTTACAAATTATTTGTAGATATGCTTTATAATAAAGTGTTACCAAAAAGCACTTAGAAATAATAGATGTTAAAAAAATTGCTCTATGAAAATCTTACTCAGGTAATGTTTGGATGAAACATGCTATACAGTATTTTCTTACACATTCTGTATACAACAATGTAGATTTTTTTCCACCAATAATGTAGAAAAAAAATCTTTAGAAAAAAAAAATCAGTAACTTCCAAACAATATTTCTTGAGATTATGTACGAGGTTTAGTCTGATAAAAGAATAATTTAAAACCACTTTTTTGAAAGTTATTCACATAAATGTAACTGATTAACAGAGGGGAGCTGCCGAGAGCTTTGGGGTAAAACTGTGGAGGTGTTTGCACAAACAAAGCAAAGTCAAAACAGTGTCTGTGTGATCATGAGAAGAATTAAAACTCCAGACTAAATAAACACAGTGTACATACCCCATTCATTCAGTCTCAATGTATATATGCTATAGGCTTATCTAGATTTAAATATATTTCCCTGGAGGTCACATACACAAATAATACCCAATTTTGAGACAACAGAGTATCATTATGGCTGGATAAATTGGCATTTATTTGGATTCTGGGGTATGTTATTCACAGATTTACACCCTACTATTTTTACAGTGTATATTGTTGGCAGCTACAAAGCCTACAAACTCTATGAGACAAAATCACATGGGACAACGAGTTTGGATAATCTATTACAAGTGCACTGCGTAACCTTTCTAATGGCGGGACCACCACTTGCTTGTCACCGTCGCTTGTCTTAGAATCTAGAATCTGCTTCCTACTACTTCTCCTACCTTTTTGCTTTTTCCAGTCACATGTCTGTCATTGTCAGCAAGTCACAGCCTGCTACCTTTGCTCCTAAATTGCCTGAACCAAATTTAGATACATAGTCTCCATGTTATGATAGTAAAAAGATACAGCCCATTACCTGGACATAGACTTGCTGGTTTTGTGAGACTGTGTAGAAGGCCTGTCGTGAAGGCTCATTGAATGGCAGAGTGTCGTACAGCTCCATGGAGAAGGACACGTTGACTGGCTTAGGCCTCTGGGGTTCTGGCATTATCCTGGGCATGAATTCTGAAGAGTCCGGCTTTGTTGCGTAGCTGCAGTTGAACTAGAATTTAAGAAAAATACACTCAGTTATATGGAGAAGACAGTAATTACATTTAACTATGAAAACTGTGAGGAAGCGTTTTGTGACATGAGTTTTCTTTCAATAGTCAATGGTGTCTGATTTTTTCACCCCTATGCGACCTGTATCTGATCTTTTATTGACAGTTTGAACGACACAGATTCAGTTTTTTTCAAATGTGACCCAGGCCACTTGGATACAGTATGTGCTCCAAAAAACCGATACATATCCGATCTTTTGACATGCGACTTCAGTCTGAATGGCCATGTTGCATTCATCCCACCTACATGTCACAAATGTACACAAATGTTCTTCTCGTCATATGAAAATTGTGTCTGAACTCCGTGTCAGTGAAGCAGTGTTGCACATCGCAATCCCACCACTCTTGGCTACGACTCCGTACCCACATGTTCCTTTTTCTGGACGTTGCTGCCACTACCTCACAAAACGCCATGGTCAAAAACCTTGTCGTTTTCCTTCTCAATCTCCTCCTCAAAGCAAAAAAGCTGTACATGTTCTGGCTCCGGTACGACAGCAACTTTAAAATTGCCTGTTGCTCAATCCTCGCATCCATGTTTAGACTACTTCCGTAAACACTGAGCACGCTCGCTGAGTGTGATGTCATGTCCTCCAGTGCACATGCGGGACACTATTGGGGCATTTAAAGTTCACACTGGAGATCACATACAAGCCGCATTTAATTGGAAATGTGAATGACCTCGCAAAAAAATCTGATTTCACAATAAAGCCGAATTGAGAATTAAACCCTGCAGTCAACGTATCCTTAGTTTCGCATTTTTTATTACAAATGATACTGAAACAATGTGATCTGAATAATTTTGAAAGCTTCTGCCCGCACCCATTTTCTTTTGTCTACTGCTAAAGATTTTTTTTTTATCTGTGGTAACTAACTAATATTTCTCTAAAAGCAGACAGAAACATAAATGGTACCAACATTATCATACGCTGATAATGGAGGCATGGAAGGTGAGGTGGGTGAAGTGTATTGCCCAAGGACACGACAGTATAAACTGGAAAGACATGAGATCAAATCATTAAACATTTGGGTCAGTCAAATTCCTTCTTCTGAACTAAAACTACATGAAATCCTACATAATAACCAGGACTAAACTAAGAACTAAACCAGGATTACAATAATCAGAGAAATATAAGCTTATATAATGATCATATTTGGGATGAGACCAGACTCTCTTCACTGTGATCTGAAAGTGGAAGGATCTGGTTGGACAGGTTATGTAAGCCATGAAAAAAAAAAAAAAATCTTAACCCATATGGAAAAAGGTACAATACTAAAGCCACTACTTTGCAATACTAGCACCAAGGGACTCTGGGAAATGCAGTTCTCTTCCAAAAGTACATACATATAAAATCTTTCTTCCTGTCTCTCTCACCGTAACGACAGAGGAGGGCTCCGCGTGGTCCCAGTCAGCGTCTCTGGGGAAATGCCCGTCTTCAGAGGCCATAGCCAGTTCCAACGCCGAGGGTCCACCTCTCCCGTCTTTGGACTCAGCGTGACTAATATGAACCTAGGGGACAAAGAGAGGGAGAGATGTGAGAAAAATACAAACTTGGGCACCATGTTTACTGGAGTATAAAATGTGATTGATGATTTTGTTCATTTATTTTGAGATTTGAGATTTTAGAATTTAGAGAGTTCAGATTTTTATGAAACAATGTGTAAGAGATAGGTTAAAGTGCATATTTTTCTAATTGTTGCTTTGTTTGGTGGGATTGTACCTGTGGTAAATATGAATCATAGTTTTACATCAGCTAAGTGACAGTTTGTGTGAAAAAGTAGAGAAGAAAATCACAAAAAAATACAGAATGTAGCGATGGGTGAAGAAGATCAATACTGAAAATTTCCTAGAACTTCCAGAGACAATTTACATGCAAGAATTACATTTTTCTGAAAGTTTCAACATTAATTTAATAAAATAAAGGTTGTCATATATTGTTATTACTCTAATCATAACTATGGTTGCTAGGTAACAGATATGAAATTACCTCTACATTAGGGATGCACTAAAAAAAATTGTCTTTCAAATATCGGTTCAGCACATGTTTCACATCTGCTGCCCGTTTCAAACCAGGATGTAAAGTAATAAACTTCACCAAAATTTCAAAAACAGAAAAAAATAATCTTAAATCTTAAATTATGTTTGAGTAACACGTGTCGTCAAACATGTCAGATGCGTTTTGAAGATAAAGAAAGGAGAGTATCGCATGAATACAGTGCAGGGACTCATGGGTGTGTCTGCTTTCTCAACAGATCCAAGAGAGGAAATAGTGTGTGAACGAGATCTAAACCAGAGCTTTCATTCATTAAAATTATGCAGTTGGATTATAAGTGTCCAAAAATAATAACACTTCAAATATGTTTCTGATTTTTGACTAGACTAGCTATGGGAGAGCTATTTTTCAGTTATGAAGTGAGATATCAGAAAGAAAAAGAAAGCTGTTTTTGTCTGCACACAAATGTAAAAGAAAGAGCAAATAAAAAAAGAATAATAAATCAATTTTATCAATACTGAACATATGACAAAGATAGATTGAAGTTAAAAGAAAGTATTGTATGTTTTGTGGCTAACTCACCCTAACATATCCCCACCGATAAATTAGATTACATGAGAGAATCCCATGACTTCACCACAGGGACTCACCAGGGGACATAAAAAAAAATCATGTTTTGAATTTCTCAACAGTGAGGCTGTATCAATCTCTCAAAGTTTTCACTGGCTTTAAGAAAAATTACATAGCGGTCTCCATAGCACCTCATATTTCACTGCATTATTGCTTAAAATCATTTCTTAAACAAAGCCAGGAACTATTACTGCGCTGTATAACTTCGCCCACCTGCCTGCGCCCTTGGAGCTGTTATTGCTTTGCCTGGAATGTTTCACTATATAGCATTAAATTTATCTATCTCCATGGAGACAAGCAAGGCCACATCAAATCTACAAGCCAAATCTATAAAGAGAAAGTAATGATGCTTTTCTATGTATTTTTTTCAACCAGGAAAGCAACTGTTACTGAATACATGCGCAATAGATCAGTTTAATTCTGTACTGTGCGACGTTCAAAGCAAAGCAGCAGGATCTCAGTTTTGGTCCCCTGAATAAAGAATTTAAAGAAAACATAATATGCAAAATTGATTTCTGAGCATTTGTTGTCCCCAATATACCTGGAGTTGTATTTTTGCTGAATTCATGCTTCTTTCAGTGATTCATTATTACAAAGTTGTCTTCTCTAAGCATTTTGCATGTTTAGTTACGTCATAGATAAAACTCTAGACCAGGGGTGTCAAACTCATTTTCACCAAGGGCCACATTTGGATCATGTTTGTCATCAAAGGGCCGGTTGTAAAGTTAAGACTGCAACTGTAACTGTGATATCGGTATGTGACAAAACTGTAAAAGTCTGTATTTGATTTTTCATTTCATATTTATTCATTTTGTTTATGTTTATGTTTTTTACCTTTTTATTATTTACTAGTACTCTTGCTCTTATTTGATTTTACTAGTTTTATTGTCTTAATAAGGACTAGTAGAGTTAAGTAGAGCTTTACTTTATATTTCTATTGGATATGTTTTATCTGTGTTGTGCAGCACTTGGGAAATTGTTTTGTTTATGAAATGTGCTATAGAAATAAAGTGGATTTGATTTGATTTAAAGGTTTAAGTTAAAACATTCGCATTACTCCTTCAGTAACATTCATGAAATAGCCGTCCTTCTGCATCAATTTTTCTTTTCTTGGACATTTTTGGGGGAATTTGATGAGTTTTCTTGGCCTCTCTAGTGGCAAGATGCACTCACTTCACAGGAAACAACTGCGGTGCATTGTGGGAGATGTAGTAGCGGCACAGAGTCACAACTAGAGCCCGACCGATATATCGGTTGGCCGATATTATCGGCTGATATGGGCAACTTTAGGCATATCGGCGATATGGCTTGCTGATAGGGGCCGATATTTCACGTGGGCATGTTATACCTCGTTATAAAGCTTAGACTCTCTACATTCTGTTCATTTAATCCAATTTACAGACAGATAAATGTCCTAATATGTGGCTCCACATCAGTATTTATCTACGGAGTCATTTGTCTGTGTGTGTCCGTACTGTCCCTGAACACACCACAGAGTCGCGTCACTCACGTGTGTTTGTTTACACTCGCAGACACAGATCCAAACACTGAGATTATATTCTTTTTACGGACAATCGGTTTGAGTCTGGATTAAAAGGACATTTATTAGTGCAGACTTGTGATGTGAGGAGGAGCCTGTATGAGCGGTGAGTGTTGGAAATATGTCGACTCTGAAGCTAGTTTTTGTCATTTGTTATGGGTTAGCTGCTGTAGCTCCCGCACATAAACAGTCTGTTTTCTATTGGTCTGTTCTAAATTGGCTACATTGGCCGTATATTTGCTACTGGACCTGCACTGATATGTAAATGAGCTGTGAACAGACGTGTGAATTATGACATTTGCGCACATATAATTAATTATCGCGGCGCGCACGTATTTACGGCTAAAGGCTAATAGCGCTACTTTCTTTACTAGTTATGGGTCCGTCGCGAACGAAATGACTCTTAGAACCGGTTCTTTGAAGGGAACGACGGGAGCCTGATCCTTATTGGGAGCCGTGTTTTCTCTTTCTCTCACTTTTTTTCTCTTCACGCCGCGTGCAGATTCGTGGTTTGACAGCGGCAGCGGCTAAAAACGAAACTTTGAAATTTGCGTGTACGTAGGATAAAAAAAAATAATAATAAAAAAAAACGAGCATATTTGACTGTAGTTTAGCATAAAATAAATAAGTCCCGGTTTAGTCCTTTTTCAGTCCTGGTTTAGACCTGGTTCAGTCCTGATTCAGTCCTGCTTTAGACGTGCTTTAGTCCTGCTTGCAACAAAACAATCTGAAGAGCCAGTTGGGAGCCAAAAGAACCAGCAGCTTTTAGTGAGCCGAGCCAAAAGAGCCGGTTCTCTAAAGAGAACTGGAATACCCATCACTAGTGTCTAGAATGTGATGCAAAAATGCCATTAAGCCAACTTACTGTCTGTAAATATGATGTAAAGAGGCAGAATAACAATAAATGTTGCCTAAATAAACCCAATTTAAAATCCACCAGAGCCAAACCTAAGTTTTTTAAACAATTCAACATTTACAGTGAATTTTTACATCACTAAATATATTGGCGATTATATCGGCTATCGGCAGCGCCAACTCCCATTATATCGGTTTCATATCGGCCACAGCAAAATCCATATCGGTCGGGCTCTAGTCACAACATAATAATAATTATACCTTTTAACCCCTTGTGGGCCACATAAAATGGCTTGGCCTTGGCCTTGCCACGTGTGCTCTAGACAGTTTTTAAGCTCATTAACCATCACAGACTTATTCTGCGGTCAAATTGTGTTCACAAAGAACTTATGGCTCCATTAGCAAAGCATTCACCGGGAATAAGAACTTCATTTGTTTACTTTCCCATTGTTCAAACCTGTTGCGGACCACAGGGGGAGCTCCAACGCCTAAATGCCTTTCTAAATTACATTACTTTAAATTAGAAAATGTGAAATACTTATCCCAAGGTGACAGAAAAAACAGGTCTGAAAAGTGAATTAACACAACAAGAAGGTGTAATATGTTTTCTTTAAAAAGTGATTAGAATGGAAATAAACACCATAGTTGATTCTGGAGTCCAAAGTTTGCACAACAGCTGACCTTGGACACAGGCCGAGCTCCGAACAGCAAAAGTGTTGTTTGAATGTGATTACAACAGAGGAAGTGATTCATCTGAGCCTGTCCGAACAAAGACGCTCAGAGAATTCCACAATAATGAGGTTAAGTGGAGATGTCAATCCAATTTCAGTTCCACCAAACTCTTATGGGAAACATTATAAAGGATAAGGCCATCAAAACCATCTTAGTCGTGAGGTTAACCACATGTAAGAGTTGTGCACTGTAATGTTAGTGTAAATGTCTGTAATGTAAGTGCTGGTAGGGCAAAGATATCCCTGAAAACCCGATGTTACGGCTGTTCGCTGGCATAGATTCAAAGTTTATTTTCCCTCCTATCAGCGCTTCAAATCAAATAGTGTTACGACAGATTTGGAAGGAGAAGGTACTTGTTTTACTCAGGCGTTTCATGTCCAAATTTAAATAAGGATTGTTGGGAAATCACTCAAACTTAAAGTCCCAGGACATAGCTTTTTAGCAATAAAATAGACGAAAATATATACGTTTTTTAATATTGCACTGAAAAAGTTTGAAGAATGTTCCTAAGTATAGTTCTAACTTTCTACTGGAATCATGCAGGTACTGTGCCACCTACAGAAAGACTAAAACATGGTAAATGAATGCAAAATGATGATTGTTTTGTGACTCTGCTTTGGTTTAGCTGGTTAAATTCAATTTCCCCTAAATTATGTTACGAGTGGATTCATGGTTCCCACTCTTTTTTTTAAATTTTTGAACTTTTCCATGACTTTTTCATGACCTAAAGTTAATTTTCCATGACTTTACGGCACCTACATGTGTAAAATTTATCATACATTTAGGGCTAAATATGAAATGTTAACCCTTTCCACTCACCTTATGGTTTGGTATTATAGTTTTTTAACATTCAAAATACTGTCAGTGCATTTATTGTCATCTCTTTAAAACAAAAGGCGCATATGTTCGGAAATAATCATAATAGCCTAATGATAAGTTGTGTGAAAGAGATACTAAAATCCCATGACTTTTCCAAAACTTTCATTGAATTTACAAAATGACCATGACTTTTTCAGGATTTCCTTGACTTTGGAAACCCTGTGGATCATTCTATTGCAGGTACATTGAGCCAGAAGTGGAATACAACTTGGATAGTGAGCATTTTATTTCAATGCAAGAGTTTCAGAATGAACTGTTTGAATTATTTGACTGGTGTTTAATAATTTATGAGATATTAAGCATACACCAGATCGAAACATTTGCTTTAGAACAGTAGGCCACTTAACGAGAAAGCAACCTGAGCAAGTGAGGTTAGTTTTCATATTCAAGGCTAAAATAGATTGTTTTCATAATAAATACACTACATGGTTTTCTAATTTCAATTACCAAACAATCTTTAATACGTACAGAGTTGATGTGTAGTTCTGTGAAGCTGCTGTGCATGGGGTACACAGCGGTCAGGCACCCATCCAGAGGAGTCTCCAGCCTGTAGTGCGTGGCATTCACTGTCGCTTTGCATTCTGGGTCCTGAAGCGTGAGGCTGGCGTTGGTAAATCCGTATGCCTGAGAAGAGAGAAAATGTGTGGCTAAATTGAATAAAGATCAAACAGCGATTTTTATGAAGTCATTTGGAGAACTGTTAAAGCGCATTGAGTTCTCTGGAATAAACAAGGCCCATAAGGTGGTCTCGTCTCATATCCAGGTTTTTCTAATTACAGCCACTGCCAGTTTCCAGTCTGTGATGTGGGCCAATACGTTCCCACTCCAAATGTTGTGAAATGTCTCCTTCTTTGACGTCACACGCACATCAGCAGAGTTTTATTTATCGGTAAATATATAACTGTAACTAATAAGGATTCATCTGGTAGTCGCCCTCCAACACATTCGGGGTTACAGGGTTTTATTTAGTTGCTGTTCTGCTTGTAAATCTCTGTTCCATTAACATACCACAGATTGTGTCCAGACAATGGGATTATATTCTTTAATTAATTAGTCAAATGTATGTGATTAAATGTTGCAACCTTATTTACTAAGATTCTACAAAAGATCTAAGACAAATGCATTTAAAAATTTGCCGCGCACGTTACATTGACTGATTGAAATTAAACCACTACGTATGACTGTTAATATCGTTACATATTTTTAACTTTCTTTTATTTTAGACAGTAACACATTTCATTAAAGGTGCATTGTGTAACTTTTCGGGTGGAGTGTCCGTCAAAAGCTTTTCTCCATGGAAATGTTATTGATTTGTCTGGGATTTTTCACAGTTATAGCATTAAACCGTTTGATATTCATAGAGACCTAATCAGGCCAAGTTACAGGTCAGATCTGTGGAGAGTCAACGCAACTCACAGCCAGAATGCCAGTTTTTCTAGGTATTTTTGAGCTATAAACCCACCTGTAATTGAATAAATGTAAGATAAAGCTGTTTAATGTCATACTGTGGAACATTCCAGGCAGAGCAATGACATATCCATTGAAACAAGTGAGTGAAAGTTACACATTGATCTTTTAAGATGCAGGTTTTTAAGTGCTATAAAATAACTTTTATAAATGCCATGGAAATAAACAGAGAGGAATTATTTAGCTAATAATCTAACAATCAATTAACTGATTAGTTGTTTGGAAAGACTATATTATATATTTGTAAATATCTGTATTAAATTTAACCCAGACCAAACAGAAGTGATGCAGATTGAAGACCGGACTTGACGTGAGTACACTGGTGTTTTTCAGATGCTAGACTGTCATGATGTCATAGTCCCAGACTAGGACCAGACTTTCCTATTCATTACATTGTTCTTTTCTGAAAAATTGAAAGGGTAAATGCATAAAAGGACCTTAGAACTCACTTTATTACAACAAAATCTGCGTTTTAATAGTCTTCATTTTATCTGCCCTCATCTGTTCTTGTTGTTGTGATCTAAAATCCAGCTCTTATGATCTAAAATCCAGCTCTTTTCTCAGCACATGGCATGTTTTGGAGTCTGTGTATTGTTCACATAATGATTATTCAAATATTAAATTATTTGACAATTACGTTAATAATCAATCATCCCTAAAATGTAGAGCATGAAAATACTTATATGAAATACTAAGTGTGGTGGATATCTCTGCCACCACTCCACAGTGTCAGTATTATTTAATTTCATTTAATTTCATTTACATTAAGTTAATTACATCACACATAATTTAATTCCTTTATTTAGACTTATATTCATATTTGGGTGCACACATTTTAGTTAATATAAATCTTTTAGTTTTGTTCAAGTGGCCAGTAAGTTTGTTTGTCTAGTTTGTTTAAGGTTACTTTATTATCATTTATTATTTTCTGTATTAAACTTATTTGCCTTCTTGTTATTTTAATTAAGTTAGTAGTTTAGTTAATTATTTAGTATAATTCACTCCTCTTGTGTTTAGTGTTAGTTGGTGATCAGGTATTTAAAAACCCCTGTTTTGTTCTGTTTAGTTTGATTTAAGTTACTCTAGTTGGGCCCAGCTTTTTACCTCCGCCAAGGAGGTTATGTTTTTGCCGGCATTTGTCTGTTTGTTTGTTTGTTTATTTGTTTGTCTGTTAGCAACACAACTCAAAAAGTTATGGACCGATTTTGATGAAATTTTCAGGATTTGTTGGAAATGTGAAAAGGAAGAAATGACATCATTTTGGGGGTGATCCGGAAGAAATCCTGGATTCTGGATCACTTTGAAATTTTAGTTAACATTGTGGTAAATGGGGCCAAAAATTTTGTTTCTCAATATCTCGGTTAATTATTGACCAAACCCCATGAAATTTGACTCAGGGATGGACAATGGGATCCTCTTTCATATTCCAAAGGCTGATCTGGATCTGATCCAGAAGACTGATTTTATCGCAATTTATATAAAAAATGGGGGTAGTCCTTGGCGGAGGTCTGCGCTCTCTGAGTGCTTTTCTAGTTTGTTAATGATTTACCTAATTTGAGCCTTTAAATTACATCTTTTTTTGACTTTATTAAATTTAAACTACCTTGTCTTTGCCTTTCTGTTTGGTCCACTACAATGGGACATAAATAAATGTGGAAAATATTGAATAATCTCTTTTGAATAAAATCTTACTAAAATGAAAAGTTCAAAATGTGTCTTGTACTTACCGTGAGACTGTCTTTGTCTATGCTAACCACCATCCTGGACTCTTCACACTGCACCGTCAGCCCCACATTGAGCATTCCCTGAACCTCCTCCGGGCCCTCGATGTCCCATGCCCTGTCGCCCAGGGAGGGAGGCAGGCGCATGTAGTCGTCTGATGCGGAAGGGTGGAAGGGGGCGAAGTGGGGGGGAATGTCAGAGAGACGAGGGGCGCTCCTGGGCTCATGGTGAGGCCTGGAGTCATGGAGGATGGACAGATCCGGAAGGAACATGCTCTCCAGAGGGTCCACTGTGTTTGAAACCATAGAGAGAGACAGCATACTAACTTTTATAACAGAAACAGAACTGAAAATCTGCAAAAATACTACAAAATAAATCAAACTATATACTTGCATAAAATGAAATATAAAGGCTGTCTGAATCAAATTGTGTTATAACAGTCCAAAAATGAAATGAAAACAAACCTACAAATCAAACTTGAAATGTTAAAGGCCATGTATCCATTTTTTACCACATGTATTTCAGAAAAGTTTGCCCCAGCACAGATATAATCATAAGCATCTCTTGAAGTCAAAATAAGTCTTTTGTATGCTGTCTAGCTGTTGTTAGATTTAACTTAAAAAACTAACTAACTAAAAAAAATTAGGATGCCTGAATGCATAAGTTATGGGTCTCCAACCTTTTTTCCTCCGGTCAGCTACCTTTACAAAAAGAAAATGCCAGAGAGCTACTAATTTTAGCAGTCATGAGAAACTGAGTATATATAAAAGCCTTAGATTTGTATTAGTCTTATATGTATTGCCCCAAACCTACTGTATTGACATATGGGGCAATACATGAAAGACTAATACAAATCCAGTCTTTACCTTGCAATAAAGGCAATAAGAACAATCACATTATCATGAACCAATCAATGCGTTATTTATAAACCTTCAAACTCTGAAATTGTAAGAGTTAGCCAAACTTTACACTTTGAAAAATACATTCAAAGGAAATAACAATCTCTTCAAAATCATTACAGAATATGATCAAAATCTGAAATAGCCAATATGAGCTCAGGTTATCAAAAAGGAAATCAGAACAAATGTTATTAAATTTTGTCCATCTGTTGAAGGGGTGGAGCTCTGGAACAACTGTACAGAAGATCTAAAATTGCGCACCGCTCTCTTCCACTTTAAAAATAAGTTTAAATGTTTAACTCTGGGCAGACACATGAATTATGATACTTAATTTGTGCTATAGTACTTTGCTGTGCTGTTACTGATTTGTTTGTTTCCTCTTGCTGTATTTATGAAGATGAACTGGTGTCAAGATGACGCTCTGACAAAGGAATAAAGAGTAAAGGCAGAATAAGCTCAAGTTTCAGCCTACACCTTTTCGGTCTGTGTATGTTAAATATACCAGTGTCTGTGAAATAATGTCAGAATATACCTGTGACTGAAATAAATTAATCAATCAATCAATGAGATGATGTACAGAGATGCGTTGCAACAGCTAAATGCCGATTACCTCCTTACTCCACATCCATATTTTATAAGCCTTTTTTACTCAGGAGCCTTTTTTCACATCCATGCTGATAAATGTGGACGATGCAGACTGTGCAAAAATGGCCACATGCAAATGACCTGTCAGAAGTGCAAAGTACTTTTGTTGTTTACAAAGGATAAAAATTGTTTCTTGGAGCACCACACGAAAAAGTGATGTTGTTCTGCCACTGTAAAGCTGTTACACTGTGCTTTTTGTTTTCATTGTTATGAAAAGTGGTGTACACATAAAGTTAGCGTTCATATAATTTTCAGTCTTCAGTGATAATTTACCACACCGGACCAATGCTGCAAATCTGCAACATCCCAGAACGCACTGCATGTGAAGGTCTCTCTCAAAAAAAGTCAGGATTGTATATTACTACCCCATATGATAATTTTTCCTAAATATCAGATTTTTCCTGTTACTAAAACTTAATTTGAGCCTGAGAGGGTTAATTGTAATTCAGAAATCCCTTGGAGAGCTACTTGAAAGGCGGTAGAGAGCCACTGGTAGCTGGTACAGGTTTAGAGACCCCTGGCATAAAGGTAAGTGAGGAATAAATAGCAATAGACCACTGAAAACCAATTAAAATTAACCAGTTCTGTTTTTTATTATTATTTTTAAGCGGGTTTGTATTGGAACTACTGCGGTTTCTCTGTTGGGTTGGCCTTCCTTCCTTGTTGAGTCACTTGTGATAGTATAAGGAAGTGCTCTCAGTTGTCCTAGTTTGAGCCCACTTCAGTCCTGATGTAGACCTGGTTTGATCCTGTCCTTATTGTCCAGCTTTAGTTCTAGATGTAGTTTCTATTTTGATGTGGCATGTGCGCAGCTTAAAGACAGATATTACCCTAAAATAGATGAAGTTTTGATGATGTTGTGAATCTATGTTCTCGCCACAAGAGTCCTGTATACTTTTACCAAAAATAACTAAACAATACCACACAGGCAACAATAATAGAACCGTAAAGGTTATAGATTGGCCAGTGCATATACTGAGAATGAGAAAAAATAGTAAGCCCTCCAAGTGCAGGTTCAATTGTGACTGTTTTTAAAATTGTAAACATGCAGGTTACATACTGTATATTTAATTTATTGTAATTACAGCTTTCTAACATGTGTAATTGTGGGTTGATAAATGCAAAATTAAGTAGATGGCCATAAGTCTAAAACTGTCTATTTGTCCTCATGTTGAAACTCTCATAGTAACATGACAGATAGTGGTGCTTAAAATCCCATCATGATGTTTTTAATTATAGACCACAGAATGGAGAAAACATATGCCCCGTGTCCACAGTTGCAGTGCCTGATTAGATTACCTTGTTCGCGGAGCCTGAGGTTGAAGTGGTTGGCCACAGAAGTGCTGGTGTAGGAGGTGACCGGGCCATAGCCGTGCTCCTCGGCCCACTGGATCAGGTTCTGAGAGCCCAAAGGTAAAGGCTGCTTGGGCACTTTAGTCACCTGCATCAACTTCTCTGTGCCAGAACCAATGCTGATGGTGTCGGAGGCCTGCGTAGAGAAGATGATTCAATTCAGTGTGACTTTATTTATCCCTGAAGAGCAATTTAAGCAGACCGAACAGTTAAAATGGCAGATGAATTAATTGATCAAGACTCACTGCTTAAAAAAGTAAATTGTCTGATTATTTTACAAAGTCAAGTAGTCAAGAATATTTAACTAAATTGCTTGTCCAGTCTTTGAGCCGATCCCTGACACTAAGGATTATAGTCCAGGTAGGTTCCATAACAAAATAATTAAAAGCATAACATTTTCTTTTGCTATTTATGCAATACTTTTCTATTTCATCTACTACTCTATTTCTACAAATACAACTGCTAGTAATACTTTGATCTTGTCTTCAGCTTCTGGTATATTTTTGATTCTTTTAGACTGACAACTTTGTCAGTGAGATGTATTTTCCTTGACATTTTTCATTTTCCAAGAACTAAAAACAGCTGATATGTGACACATCACCGAGATTAGTGACACTTCTCAAGACGGCTAATGAAGTTTTCTGCCTAATTAAAAGAATAAAACATATATCTGCTTCTACCACTGCAACTGAAACTACTTCTCTTACTACAATTGTTCTGTAGTCTGATGAATATAATGTATTACTAATGTATGAAAGCTTGCCTTAAAGGGCCCATATTCTTCTAGTTTCTGATCTATAATGTTGTTTCCTCATCAAAAACATATCTGGTGTTGTGTTTTCTTTCATTCACACATGTTGAACACACAAACCCTGTGTTTTCCAGTGTGTTTTTAAACTCCATGCACTTTCACTTGGATAATTTCAGCCCTGAAATTGCCAATCTCTACTGAACAAAAGGTAAAAGCCAGCTGTTAACTCGAAAACTACCACTACGTGACATTACAAGTTGGAAAAGAGCCTTTTGAGATTTGGAAATGTAGACAGGCTAATGATAAAAGATTACTCAAATGAAACAAAACACAACTCCAGGTAACAAAAATGGCTCATAAGAACTCATTTTGTGTAATATAAGCCCACCACATTGCTCTATCTATGGGACGCCACTCTTGTAAAAAAAAAAAGAACTGCTACTTCAAAACAATGTAACTCCATAGAGAAAAGTAAACAAACTATGTCTTGCGCATGAAATTAAGTTAAAGTCACTTCAAATATCACCAACAAGCACTTCATTGTACTGGCCCGTGGCATAGAGGATTTACTTAAACCGTTATTAATCTCTTGAGTCTGCAGTTATATGATCTAAGAGTAACAAAAGACAGTCTATGCGCTGGGTCTTATTCCATATTCATGTAGGGTCTTGCCGTTACTGTTTAAAGTGTGAATCATGTAACTGAGGTAATAGACATGTCATAGCTCGAGAAAAGGGTTAAGTTTCCCCTCAAATATTCAGGTCTGACTGGGCTCCGTCGGCTCTGAAAAATCACTGTTCTCACACACAGTTCTCACACAGGCCCGAGGAGACCCTGCCCTTTGACAGAATGAGCCATCAGTCTTTACAAGGCTATCATATCATGCATACTTGACACTTTCCCAAATGTTCATTGCTCAAAAAGCAAAAAGCTGTAAAAAAGTGGTTACAGTGTTGGTATGCTGAGAGTTTGATACTTGCAATTGTCTCAGAACATTATATAACTGATTCATAGGTAAATCTGTCATGATAATTACTATATCGGCAGACAAAGCAATAACATAAAGTTTTTATGTAAAGATTTGAGCTGTAAAAAGTAGAATAAATAAATTCTATGGCCATTTATTTTTCACAACTCATGCTTTTTAATGATACTGGCTCTTTAAAAAAATAGGTTTACTGTAATCATCCTGCTTTATGTCAGTGGCAAAAAGTAGTTTCAGTAATATCATGTATCACAAAAGCACAAAAAATTTAAAAAATGTGTTACCATTTCCTGCTTATTGGCCCAATTCTGAGGACGTTTAACCATTCAAAATTCAGTTCAAAGAGCATTTTGTTTTGAATGGTTAATTGTTATGTCATGCTACTAATTTTTCAGTCAGTCTAAAGCCAAAATAACATGACATGTGACTTACTTGGACGACTGAGGAATTACACAGATATGAGGCCACATGGTAAAATAAAATAAAGTACTATTATTTAATGCTGAAATCACATTTGATTGTCTAAAGAAAAAGTGTTTTTAATTATAAAACTGGAGTTGGAATGGGTACTGACCAGACCCAAGTCATTGTTTTGCAAGTCTCAAGTAAGTATCAAGTCTTTGACCTCAAGTCCCAAGTCAAATATAAGTCCAAGTCGATTCTCGAGTCACTAGCCCATAAGTCCAAGTCAAGTCCAAGTTGTCTTCTTTGAGCTTCAAGTCATTTCAAGTCTTTAAACCAAAGTATATATAGTAATATATCTTACTTTTTGCATTTTATATGAATTTTAAACTAAACTTTATTTAAAACATCAGGAATATTTATATAATAGTTGTAGAAATGCAAATTTTTCCTTTTTAAATCTCTTGACAAGAGTGCAAATTATTAGGAACAGAAAGATTTAAGATGTAAGAGTGCTTAATAACAGTTAATTTGTTAACTAGTCTAAACATCAAGTCTTTTCAAGTCACTGGCCTTCAAATCCAAGTCGAGTCCCAAATCTTTGTCTATTTTATCAAGTCAAATCTCAAGTGCTAAAAATAGTGACTCAAGTCTGACTCGAGTCCAAATCACAACTTGCACCTCTGGTATTGACTCTCAAGTCTATTCCTTAGCATCAAAAAAGAGATTGAGATTAGACAACACTAGAACAAAATACTGATTACTGAAAATACAGAAAATACTGAAAATAAAATTCTCTCTCCTCTTAATTCATTAAAAGGCCACTAATTGTGTACATTATGTTCATTTAGCTTACTCAAAACCTTACGTAGAACCAAAACAGACCAATATTTGACTAATTGTGATTTTCTTGTGCATGTAATGTGCAAGTAAAGGATTGGTCCAGTTTGAGTTATGTAATGAAAAACCCAGAAAAGTAGCCAGCCATGTTGACTTTGGCCCCGTGCTGCACAACTGGTCTGGTAGGGGGAAAAATGGGCAGTGGTGCCGTAAATGTGTTTTTAAAAATGTAAACACAACCCGATCTGCTCTTAGTGTCACTTTGTGAGCTGTGCTGACATCAGTCTGAGGAGCAGTGACCAGCAGCTGCACAAACACAGGAGCTACACAGGCTACAGAGGCTACAGGAGCGGTGAGGAGCACAGTCATGACGGAGGCCTGCAGAGGATCACACTCACACAGATGAGGCAACACTAGACTACATTCAGAATAGACACACTTAACTGTACAAAACCAATGACCACTGCAATCCATGTATCATTCATTCATTAGGTTTTCAACAACTATTTTCTTCATTATTTGTCTCCAAAACCAAAATGAAAAAATGTATAACGATTCGTTTGTTAAGTGTTCAATTTTGTGTTTAAATGAATAATGGAAAAAACATTTAATGTCCGTTTCCTTTTTCATCCAATTTTGACCCTTAAGCTGTCCAGTTATATATATGTAATACCTCCATGATTTTTGTAACATATGCTCAAGCAGAAGAACAAACGGAGCACCTAATTTATTCATTCATTCATCCATTCGTCAGCAACCGTTTCTCTTTTGGCTGAGTGTGCTAACATTACCACCATTTAAACTAGAGATGCACGACCACAGATCAGGCAGATGGTGAAAAATAATATTTACATCCAGTCTATTATTACTTTGTTTTAAATAAAAAGAACACACCTGGAATATGACACTGATTTTTTTCTGTCGTCATGTCTTCTGGTCTTATTTTCAGAAGGATGAAAAAGGATGTTGGTTTCCACATGGGTTTCCATCTTGCACTTCCACTTTCCATAGGCATATACATGTATGTCTATGGCACATTCTGCTTAATTTAGGTGTCACTTCTGGATCACGGAAATGTAAAAACAGTTGTTATCCTTTTTTTTTTCTATTATTCATTTAAACACAAAATCAAAAACTGAAAAAATGACTCGTTATCCGTCTTTTCATTTTGGTTTTGGAGACAAACAAATGAAGAAAATAGTTGTTTTTTTCATTTTCGTATTTTTGGTTTTATTTTGAGAAATGAATGAACGAATGATACACAGATTCACTACAACTGCCCTGTCCTCCACTGCTGTAGACCTAGGGCTGCTGCATATCGAAATCAGAATTGAAATCACGATTACTCAAACAGTTAATTATTAGAAGAAAAAGGTAGGGCATTTCATCAAGCCATTTACAGCACCATATTTCTCATAGAATATAGGCTGTTATAAATGCACTCAAAAAGTAGAAAGATATAATATGCGGCTACTTTTTCACTAAATGTGTATTGGAAGCATTTAAGAGTTACTGTTAATCACCTCCATTACTCATTTGCACATTGTTTGGTAACTGATTAGAGCAATAATCATAATTGTAATTTGATTGCACACTCATGGATACTCATTAACTGTTTTAAAAAGTGTAGCTATTAATCTAGTATTAGTTACATCATCAGTAAACATTGGATTTTCCAACCAGATTGTACTTCTCCATTTTAGCATTTGAGCTCTTGTTAGGCTGTTCTCTTTGCACTAGATCCCTCCGCTCTGACATGTTTTGATGGCTCAGTGTCTGATCACATCTGTGGAGCTGACACAATAAAACTCTGTCTCCCTTAATCTGTTAACACCTCGTATCATCCCATCCCACGACAGTACCCAGACCCCATTTCTAGACACACACAACACTTCGATGCCAAATTTCCCATACTGCTCTGCTAACTCATTTATCTGTGGTTTGGCTTGTCTGGGTAAGCCATCTATCTCGGTCTATCATAAAGTTTGTTTCCTGTCATGCTGATGTCTTACCACCACTTGAAGCTTGCCCATTATTCTGTGTGCCTTGATGACCCAGTTGACGGCTTTGGCGCATTTGAGGATGAGGACAACGTCGCGGTGAAGAGGGGCGTCCTCCTCCAGGGGCTGAAGATCCACAATCACATCCACCTGGAATGCACTGGAGAAACGGAAAAATGTACAACTTAAAATGTAGTAAAACTAATATCAACAGCAATCATGTTTTATGTCATATTGAACACCTTTTGATATATACCACTGGTCAAAAGTTTTAGAACACCCTAATTTTTCCATTTTTTTATTGCAATTCAAGTCGTGCAAGTCTAATAAACAGCTTGAAATGGTACAAATGTAAGAACTGAACAGACAGAGGTTAAAAAACATAATGACCCAAAACACAAGTCCAAGGTCTGCCAAAACTACCTCAGGGGGAAAAAACAAGATGTTGAGCTTCAAAATATGGAGTGTCCAGCACAGTCTCCAGACTTAAATCCCACTGAGCTGGTTTTGGGATGTACTGGACAGAAGAGTGAAAGCCAAGCAACCTACAAGTGTCACACATTATAAATTTTAAGATATGATAAATTGATTCCATGATTTCTTTTTCAACTGAAATAGCTTATTTGTCCTATGCTTTCATTTCAGATGCAATGGCACAATAAACTGAATAATTTTCAGTCAAAAACTGTAAAAAAGAGTGTTCTAAAACTTTTGACCAGTTGTGTAAATTCATACTAAGGGCACAAGGCATTTACATTCATTTCTCAGATGTAATAAGTCTGGGGTCTGACTGGCAAAAACATGGCTGCCAAACTTCATCAACAGCCTTCATCAATCACATAACAATGCTTGTAAACACATCCACAAGTGTTTAGGTAAAAGACACAACAATAGCAGGAGTTTAAATGCCAACATTCCCGAAATCAAACAACTTATTGATTGGGAAATAATGAAAAATGCATGTTACAAATAAATCATTACACTATATTTTTCACAGGCCTCAAAGCATGACTGCCTGAGTACCGCATTTTTCAGACTATAAAATCCTTACATTTTCTCAAAAATTGACAGTGTGCCTTATAATTCAGTGCACCTTATGTATTAATTCAGGTTGTGCTTATCTCAAACTGATTTTATGTGGTACTTGGTGCTCAAAAATCTGTCAAAATGTTTAAGTACGACTTTGGTAAACTACGAGGCCGCACCGTTTGATGGATATCGGAGAATTATGGCTACTGTAGTCAGGAGAATCTCTAAAAAGTTTCACATGAACCATCTCCAACGCGATAGAAGCACAGAACAGACTCACCATCTGCAGCACATCCTCTGTCACAGAAAGAACACTCATATTCCACTGTGTCTGTTCCTACCTGTTTGTTTCAGCACTTATAGTTTATGCAAATTTGCCATGTGGTTTTCAGTTTTGTCTGTGAAAAACCTAAAGAAATATCCCCAAAGCTGCATTAAACACATTATTACTCACAACTCACTCATCAACCCACATTCACATTCATAAATTCAGAATGCGCCTTATAATCTGGTGCGCCTTATGTATGAAAATAGACGAGAGAACTCAACATCATCGATATTAAGCCTTTTAGGGCGTTTTCACACCGACAGTATTTGGTGCGCACCAAACGTTCCATTCGAACAAAAGTGGTTAGTTCGGTTCGTTTGCGTTGGTGTGAAAGCGTCAATCGGACTCGGACCCGAACCAAATGAAGCGGACCGAGACCGCAAAAATGAGGTGGTCTCGGTTCGCTTGAATCCGCACCAAATGACCAACTTTGGTGCGGTTCCTCTGGTATGAACGCGAACCCGGGTCCAACCATAGACAGTATGGACAAACAGACTATTCGAAATGCATCATGGGAGGGACACGCGTCTCCTCTGCCTGAAATGACGCACTGTACGACTCCAGCGCAGTAACAGATTGTTGTCCAGACGCAGCCGCGATTCAGTTTCGAATTATTTTACCAACAATGGCCATTACTGAGAACGTAACGCACGAAGATCAGAGCAAGAACAGTGTGCGAACGTGTGGCTCCAGAGTGAGTCAAAATTGGGGGTGCGCACCTGTTCGGGACCTACACGCACAGAGACGACCCGGTGTTCCCCGTGATCACGCAGCAACCAACATTTGTTATTTTAGGCTTTAATTAACCAAATAATTTTATGGCAATAGGCAATCGCCCATTCAATTGATACAACTTAAAAAAGTCCCTGTTTTTAGCCTAGTGTGAGAAATACAGTCGGACTAGATCCAAACCAGAGTCCTGAACCAGCGGGGCAGCTCCAGTTCAGCCGGGCTCAAAGGAGCTGGAGCGGGGAGCCTCGACCTGAGGAAGCCCTTTCCCCGGGAAGAACCAAATGCGCGGAGGACGGACGCTCAGAACAACATATAACAAACCAAACTGGACTCACGCTTCTGTCCGGATGCTGCACCACCTCGGAACCAGCCGCGATTCTTGAGCGCGGAGAACCAGAGCAGCGCGCCCGGACCTGTAGTCCACAGCGCATTCTCACTTTCCCGCACAGAACCAGCGCGCAGACGACGGAACGTACGCGCTCAGACCCTGTCATTGCGCACTGGTCTTTCTCGCCACCGTTTGGAACCAGCACATGGAGGATGGAGCCTCCAGACCATCTGACCAACGAACTTGTAACAGAAGACCAAGGACCAGACCCCAGCCCCGTCCTGAGGAGCTGCGCGCTACTTTGAGCACTGTTGGCTGCTGCTGTTACCGAGCTCTGGGCTGATGCGGTGAGTTTGTACAAAGTTCTACATGTTGCTGTTTTATGAGTTCATGGTGATAATTTGAGATGAGGACGGCCCGTGGTTTTAACAGGAACATCGGTGTTGATAACTGGAGGTATCGCTGTTTTACCGGGGAAACAGAGACACGTGAATCGAACCAGTTTTGGTTCGTTTGCCGGTGTGAACGCGGACCCAACTGGAGTGTATTTGCTACATAATATTTTATTGCCTGGTGCGGACCAACTAATCGAACTAGCGGTGTGAAAACGACCTTAATCCGGTGCCCCTTATAGTCTGAAAAATACGGTATTTTCTTTGGCTAAATTGAGATTCTACTCTCCAGTCAATGCTGGATCTGTATGTGACTGTAGGCGGCTCTGTGCTTGGCCAATCAGAAACATTTTAACGGAAAAAAACAAAACAAAACCCAAACCCAATAATCTTTTTTGACAGAGACGGTTTATTTTAGAATTTTCCCGAAAACCTTAAAAAATTACTTTGCAATTATGTCATTAGGTTAACAATATAGTATTAAGTTGATGTTTATAATGTCTGTTTAAAAAGAAAGTTTTTGGTTCCTCTTGATTTAACCTAGATTGAGCCAAAATTACTCTTTACATGTCAAATTAAGTAACCACGTAAACAAAAAATAAATTCCCAAACCCGTCACTATTGCCCCATAGTTGCTGCATGTTCTTCATAGTCGGAAGTCTGGCCAACTAATTAAAAGTGGATACATTTCAAGGAAAAAGCGGACATGTGCAGACCAGACACTGCTCTAAAAGATTAGGCCCTTCTATCACATTGTCTTTGGGCTAAACATAATAAGCAGTGTACAGAGCCAAGTCAACCCTAAGATCCTGTTTTGAAATATTATTCTAAGAGGAACACCACAGAGCACAGCGTCTCCAAGGAAGGCCAACATAAACTGTATGGACATAAGTGAGAGCAGCGTAACCTCCACAACAGCGGTTCTCAATATGCGGTCCGGTGGTGATTTAGTGTAATTACAGGACTGCATTATTTGTGGTATTAAAAGGTCGTGTACCCAAATGTATTCCCATGTATTTGAGAAAAAACTGTATTGCCTCAGTAAAGATATATTAAATAAACAGCTCTTAAGGTCAAAAAAAGGTCTAATTATTGTCTGTTGATCAGGAAGTGCACATTAGCATGATAGTTGTTGTCAGTGTTAGCTCTACAGCCACAACAAAACTTTGCTCTGGTCTCTGAGATCTGTGAAAAGAGCTTATAAACTCATCGCGGTGAATAACTAGGATGCTCGAGATGCATCATTATGTTAAGTTTTTTTTTTGTTTTCAACTTTTTTAAGATAGTAAAAATCTGGTACAGTGCCTTTAAACCTGGACTGGTCCTACATTTGTCATGGTTTAGTCTTGATTAGTCCTTGGTTAATTCAGATTCTGTTCTGGGTTAGTTTGTTAAAAGAGGCACAATGGATTTTCCGGTGTAGATTACAGCATGTTTGTCTCCATGGAGATTGCTTTGCCTGAAATGTTTTGATGTAAGTGTGGCATTAAAATTATCTATCATTAAACACACGGGACGCCACAAAGTGAAGTTACAGTTCAGATCTTTATAAAGACAACCTGCTCACGGTAAAAATATCCTTTTTCCCATGGTTTTTGAGCAATGAAAACTCAAAATTAAGTAAATGTTAGATAGTAGGGGTGTAACAATAACCGCAATATCATCATATAGTATTGTCAAAGGTCTCACAATAATATCGTGGACCATCACAATATATCGAAGTCTCGAAGTCTTTGCTTAAATTAATAGTTATGATGCAGAAATAGCTAAAAAAGAAACAGAGGGAACTACATAGACCATGATCCTTTTCTCCATTTCAGTGCAGATTACATGAAGAAAAAACAGTTCTAAGCACTTTTAAATCTTATTTCTTTGGATTAAGTCTTGTGAAGGCATTTTTAGATGAAAAAGTAGCATATTCACAGTTTGAGGGAGCCTCCATAAAATATCGCAATAAACACCGTATCGTGAGGTTCATACTGTGTCGATATCGTATCCTGAGACTTGGATATCGTTACAAACATTAGACATTTAATGCTCTGCTGTGGAACATTCCAGACAAAGCAATAACATCTACACTAGAAAAGTTAAACAGTGCCCACAACAATGGTTGGTTTGTGCTCTGGTATGTTTTGTTTTAATCCATAATCATTAAGTATTAATTTTCCTTTTTAGGCCATGTTTCCCACAAACCACGATGCACAATTAAGCCTGCAATAAACCAGGACTCCATAACGGATGTTGTCTACCTTACAATAGTTTTTATTGGTCAGTGTTGTGTTTTTGTTGTGTAATGTTGAGCAGTGTCCTGTGCTTTAGGTCAGCAGATGGAAACCAGCACTTTCGCAACACAAGCGTTTTTATTATTTGAGACGTTAATTATAATGCACGCTACCTGCTAAAAACAAGGAATAAAATAACATGCAATAGTTCATGGCTTCGTTCTGACTTTGTCCTGGTGTATCTGGAGCTCTTATCTTTAATTTGTTGAGTTAAATGAGAGTCAAAATGATGCTGTTTTGTCTGTATCTAATATAAAGCATTCTTTTTATTGCTGATGCATCGTTGGCAGTACCATGGGGGCAAATCTCCACCCTGGTCTCTGCAAGTTGTGAAATAGACTCATAATTACGATGCTAGGAATGCATTATGAAAGTGAGGAATGACTTTGGTTAGCTGTGGACCACTTAAAAAGAAACTAGTTTGTTCTTTCAAGCAGAATTCTGTATCTCTCCTTCACTGTGGTTCTCTTCAAGGTCTCTTTTTTTTCTTTTCTCTTCAAGGTTGCTCTTTTTTGTAGTTTTTCCTTGTCGAGAAGGAGGCTCTAAGGACAGGGGGCGCTCTGGTACAGTTATCCATGATCTTGCTTCATGTGAATGTTGGTTAATCTGCTTGTCTATTAATGATCAATTACACTGTTTGATTTTCTAACTTTTTGTTGGTTAAATCCACTATTTTGTTAAACCCTGCGAGGCAACTGCTGCAGTAATTTTGGGATCTACAAAAATAAACCGAATAGAACTGAAAAATTAGCGTGAATATTTTGAAAACATCTGCAGTCGGTCGGTCAGTTCTGGAGAGCTTCACTGATGTTGCGTCTCACCTGCTGGAGTTGGGGGCCTGCAGTTCGATGACGTGCACTTCTTTGTCCTTATCGGACCCGTAGAGGACGCAGCCTTTGGAGGGCTGGGGCTCCACGTACCCGCCCAGGTAATTCAGAGACAGGAACCGCGTGTCAATCTTACACGTGTCGGAGAAGACTGGATCTGAGAGAGAAAAGAGAGGAGGGATTCTGAAATCAAATATGTTGAGTTTACATTTCAACCATACATTCATCTTGTGTGAAACTGTTTACACTTCTGCAGGAGGGGAGGAAAGTTGTGCTTGGGTTTATCCAGCTTTAATGACGTAAAGATATCAGACCTTTAAGTAAATCAAGGACTAAAGGCTAAAACAACAATCACATTTTTTTATGTTATAATTTGGGGTTTTGGTTCTCAAGAGTATTATCCAATCAAAAAGCAGAATTAAATTCATGAGTCTTTCATTTTGGTTGCCGGTTTCAATGCCGAAATACAGTTGGTTTAAACCTAAAATGACTCTCTCTGATCTGAATCCTCTACCTAAACCACAGCACCTTCTGGCAAGGATTAACCAGCGTTAGTACACGAATTCAACTTCACAAAAATAAAATGCAGATCAAAAAAAGCCAGTCATGTTATGTTATGTTAATTATTGTTTTCTGTAGTCATTTCTTGGTAACACTTTAGATTAGGGACCACATATTAATAGCTAGTTAACAGTAAAATGCATAATAAGTGCTTAATTACATCTTTGTGAGTATTTATAAAGCGGAGGTCTGTGTGGGACAGAATTTTCAGTCCCGGTCCTGTCCGCACCTGCATTGTGCAGTCCCGCTCCCGCCCACTCCCGCCAAAAATTGTACCCCGCACACATTTGCGATACTTTGTCCTGCTCCCGCTCGCAAATCCCACAGGATGGGGACGTTCGCTTTCTTAAGCTCTATCAAACACGGAGAAGCGGAAAGGAATTGTTTAAAATGTGCGCAAAATTAGACCACATCCACAAATTTAGGCTGTTAGGGCACCAATTATGTATGATAGGCAAACATTAACCATTTGTATAGTTTGCAGGACTGCAGTTTATGCTCCCACCAGCCCATTCCCGCATTGTGCAGTCTCGCGCCCGCAATAAACTTTCAAAATGTGTCCTGCGCCACACTATTTTGCGTGTTTTTGTGAGTGCAGGGCTTTGCATTTTTGTCTAAGGCTGTGTTTTTCGAGTACTAACCCATTATACTATTATCTCTATTATCTTCCCATTAAAGTAGTGGAGATTACAATACATGTTTTTGTACATACAATGAAATCTTAATAAGCATTAATAAGTGTTTGATTAATACCAAATAATAGCTAAATAACATACCAATTACCACTTAGTTAGCTATTAAACTGAAGTGTTACCCATTTATTTACTGCTTTGTTATACAGTACTTATTTACAGTGTGTGCTTTTTTTTATAAGTTTCCATGAACATCCCAAATGTGAGGGAAAAGAGAGAGCGAGAAAAAGATAGAGAGGAAGAATGCTTTAAAACATTTGTGTCATCAAGTAATAATAAAGAGAGGGGAAGCAGGAATCAGTCTTGGAATATCAGCGTCGGAAAAATTGCTGACACCTAATTATGTATTTTGTACTAAAAAAAAGTATTGCCTTAAACACTGGTTCTATTTTTCTTTTTAATACAGCTGCATGAATCAATATTTTGACAAATAACAGACTGAAAGATTGTAAAATGTACATTATCTACCAGCAAAAACATGGGTTCATTAATCTCAGAAACATGTATTTTTTTTACTATTTGCGCTTATAATCACCATTTTCTCTTTCATTTTACTTCATCACAGTTCTTCACCAACATTTTTATTGGTTCTACTTTACTTGGTGTCTAAAATTGTTGGAAAAATTTCACCTTGTGTTTACATTTATCAAAGATTCTGAGCAAATGGCGTTTTCATATTCCCAGTGGAGAAGACTGTCTTTAATTTAATTCAAAGTCTGGATATTTTTAATCGTCGGGGCCTTTCTCACACAAACCTGGAGTAAATTAAGACACGATACATTCTGCAGTGCATAATAAAGACGCATATGGCTATCTTTTAGTATAGTCCACAAATCAACGTTGAGCAAATACAGAGGGAGTGAATGCTTGAAGCAATAACTATGTGAGCAAATGGTTCAGGGAAACAAGCTGTTTTGGAAAAGGGAGTTTGTTTTCAGGAGTTTAATTTGAGGATAGTAACAGATAAGTCTGAAGACTGTTCCTCCCACAGGCTGTACACCAATAAGAAGCCTCCTTTAACTTTGACGTTGTATGGTTACAATTAAAGTGGCTCTATGTAACATTTCTAGTGGAGGGTCCATGATCTACTTGTCTCCATGGAGATGTTAATGTGGCTGTAGTTTTTTTGTTTTTTTTTTGTATGTATTTGAGTAAAATTTGTCTTGCTCCAGTATAAATATAAAGTAAAAGTAGAGGTCAGAGGTTTGTATCTTAGGCTACATTCAGACTGCAGGGCTTAATGCACAATTTGGATTTTTTCCAATTAAATGCTACTTGTACGTGATCTTCAGTGTGAACTTTAAATGCCCCAAAAGTGTCCTGCATGTGTATTGGAAGACACAACGTCGTCGCACACAGTGAGTGTGCTCAGTGTTTATGGATTTAGCCTAAACATGGACACTAGCAGTGAGCACCTGGCCATTTTTAAGTTGGTGTCATACAGAAGCCAGAACATGTACAGCTTATTTGTTCTAAGGAGGAGATTGAGAAGGAGAAGGAGAAGGTTTTTGGCCATGGTGTTTTCTGGGACAGTGGCAGCAACATCCGTAAAAAGGGGTGCAGAGTCACAGCCAAGAATGGTGAGATTGTGATGTGCTTCGCTGCTTCGCTCACACGGAGTTCATACACAATTTTCATCTGACGAGAAGACGGTTTTCGGAGCACATACCCAAGTGGCCTGGGTCGCATTAGAAAAAATTGGATCTGTATCGTTCAGACTGTCATTAAATGATCAGATACAGGTCACATAGGGGTGAAAAAAATCAGATTTGGGTCACTTCAGGCTGCAATCTGAATGTAGCCTAATCATGCACCTAGAACTGTTTTATTGTGTAAGTGTTTCACAATTAAGAAGTGTTTTATTGTTTATTGTATTGTATTGATTCGGGAATTGTGGTGTTAGCATGCTAGTTGATGTTAGGGTTACCGTGACGGCGAAGTTGTGAAACCTGCATAAGCTCATCACAGCGAATAATCAGGATGCTTGGAATGCATAAGGAAAGCGAGGAATAACTTTGGACTATTTAAAAAGAACTAGTTCTGTTGTTCTGCTTTGGCTGGAATGTTTTGTAGTATGGCATTAAACCCATCAGTTATAGGTCAGATCTCTGGACACATGGAAGCTCACTCACTGTAAAAATTATTTAAACAATAGAAATATCTGTACTTTAATAAATGGCAGATAGATAAGTTTGAAAGACCATTCAAGTTACATATCCACAAAAAAAATGCAAAAATGAGAAATTGCTTGACAAAAACAATCTTAAGTTTCGTAGTTCTTCCCCAACTCCAACCACTGAATGCCGTTGTTGTGTCCTCAAGCAAGACACTCATCTTTGTAATGAATGTGTTATATTATGAGTGATTCAGAGTGGCTAAGCGTACATTGTCTGGCAGATTTCCATCGTTCTACCCCAGGGCAGATGTGTATGCGAGTGAACGGATAATGCAAGAAGTTAACTGATTGAATATAATTGTACTGAAAATAATTCTACTGTGAATTTAGAAGTAAAAAACACAAAAGTACAAAGGGAGATCCATATTGGTTGATGCCAAATAGCCTGCATTAGTCTTGTTCCACTTTGGTCCATAAGTCAGATAAGCCCATGGAGATGAAGAAGCCTTTGATAGTCGCACAGGAGGTTTTGATTTATTTTCACACATGTTTGAACTGTTTTTGAGGCTTTCTTCTGACCTAAAATACATCAGCTTCTAGATGGAGCATTGCGACTTTAAAGCTCAACAATGTGCATTTGTCATAGTCGGTGTCCTAACCTCACCCGTTTACAATAACATGGTAACATTTTGAACGTTATTGTGAGCTTTAAGCCATGTTATAATGTTGTTACCGACTCAAAAACATATCTGGAGTTGTGTTTTGTTTCATTCACACATGTTTGAGTAATCCTATCTTAATTTCTAGAGCTGGAAATGCTCAGTTCCACCTTGTGATGTCATGTAGTGGTAGGTTTCAACAGCTAACTTTTACTTTTGTTCACTTGAGATTGGTAATTCCAGAGCTGATTCTAGTGAAGGAGCGCATGGAAAATGGCTCCAGAAACGGAATGACCTGGCACTGTGTGCTCGCCTGAAAATGCTGATACACTGACGTAGGTCTATGCACCGTGAAGTATTTCACCGCCAGAATGCAAAGAGGCAAGAGTATACGTCCATTCATATATACGGTCTATGTGTATGACCTGCAGACGTATAATCTCTGAAAAGTTTAACGTGAACCATCTCAATGCGACAGAAGCACAGAACAGACTCACCATCAGCAGAACACTGCTCTGTCACAGAAAGAACACTTATATTCGTGTCCTTTAGTCTGACAGAAGCAGAACTTCATCAGCACACAATACCAAGCAGTTTTTTGAGCGCTCAGTTTATGCAAATGAGCCATGTGGTTTTAGGTTTTGTTTCCGTGAAATGTAAACACATATGCTCAAAGCTGTGTGGATAGGGAAGGCTTTGATTGTGGACACAGAAACGACATGCGACATGTCTGGACGCAAATATTTCCGAACGTAACCTCGTTTCTGAATGTAACATTAGAACCAGATCATGATTTCAATTTCATGTCATGGTTTTTAATACTTTTATACAGCCCTAGTTTCACTCTGGGATTGGAAACATTGGACTGAGATAGATGGTATTCTTTTATATGCAAGTATTAAAATTGTTCCATAACTCATTCTTCACATCGTCTGCATAAATTGGAAATCAATGCATCACTATACAACCGGATCTTGGTAAGCAGTATCAGCCTGTACATAAAGTGCATGTGCATGCAAGACTTCATCATAATTACATACTCCAGCTAATTAAAGAAAGTTTATTTAAAAACACATAGCAGGCAACTTTGATTTTGTGCCAAGTTGTTATAAGAGCATGATGTGTTTTAATGAGAATCCTTCACTAGTGTGTGTGTGTGCGTGTGTGTGTGCGTGTGTGTGCGTGTGTGCGTGTGTGCGCGCGTGTGTGTGCCTGTGTGTGGATGTTGGCTGGTTCGTACACACGTAGGAACATTTTTGAGCATGAATCATGGTCCCTATAGGCTTCTGGTAAAAAGGCGTAATGTTTCAGTTTTCCCAACACTGTAATTCTATCAACTAGCATGATAACAGTGCACTTTGTGATTATCAGACAATAAAACCCTGTATTATTAGGTGTGGACGGTACACAGTGAACCTAAGTTGACATCAAGAGCCACTTATACTATATATCTGTACTGGAGCAAGAAACTGTACTCAAATTTTACTTTTGCAGGGACATCATGTTGGGGGTGTTCTAGTAGTCCTGGTTCAGCTCTGGTTTATTCCTAGTTTAGTCCTGGTTCAGTCCTCGGTTCAGTCCTCGGTTCAGTCCTCGGTTCAGTCCTCGGTTCAGTCCTGGTTTAGTCCTGGTTTAGTCCTGGTTTAGTCCTGTTTAGTCTAGTTTAGTCCTGGTTTAGTCTGGTTAGTCCTGGTTTAGTCCTGGTTTAGTCCTGGTTCAATCCTAGTTTAGTCCTGGTTTAGTCCTCGGTTCAGTCCTCGGTTCAGTCCTGGTTTAGTCCTGGTTTAGTCCTGGTTCAGTCCTGGGTCAGTCCTGGTTCAGTCCATATATGGCACAAAATTTCGGCATCTTCACTTCTGTTATTTTGTTGAGAGTAACTTAAAAGTGCTGCAATAGTCATGTAAAGACTTACATTTTAAATGCAGTAATATTGTAATGTAACAAATTACTTTAAAATGACAGTAACAAGTAATAAATAATGCATTACAGTTTTGCAGTAACTTGCCCAACAGGGATGGCAACAAATTAGCAAACACTGTCAAAAAAGTTCTAACATATTTTTAAGACACTATGATCAATATGAGCATTTATCATCCTGTTAAGTTTGATTTTCAACAAAAAGTGAGAGTGACGAACTGAAAAACTGCCTAATGCTAATGCCAAGCCAGTTCTTTATGGTCAGATTGTAGTATAATAAAAAGAGCCTCAAACAGAGCAGAGGTCTAGTTAGCATCACACCCCAGAAAATATTGATGACACCAGATGTGAAGTATAAATACATGGAAAAATATCAGGTACAGGGCCTTTAATAAACACAAATTAACATCAGACTAACTACTTACATGTATGCAAATGCAGGTAGTTAGATGTTATTAAGTCCCCTAAAATAAAGTGTTTCCAAAAAATATATTAGAAAATTTATAGCGAGCGGCTCTGATTTCGTGCCAGCTTGTTATAAGATCGTGATGTTTTTAATGAGAATCCGTTACTCGCGGTTATAATGAAGTGTGTGTGCGTGGAGACGGGCCAGTGTGGGGACAGGCCTGTTATTTGTTGCCGTGCAGTGGTTGCTCTGAGGGCTGTATCATTAGCGGCTGTGGTTTGGCCCGGGTCCATGGAGTGAGAGCGCAAGATTTCCTACACTAAAGCTTAATCGCGGGGTTGGTGGTAGTTGTACTAGAGACATAATACTGAACTGCAGGGCTCTCCTCATCTTATTAAAGTGCCACCGCAGTAGATCCGGAGAGGGAAGGTGCCAGCTCCTAGTTTATGCGCTGTCCCGGGAAGTGTTTACCAAATAAGGAAGCATCTGTCTTGTGTTTTCTCCTAGTGCCAAGATTAAACCAATGGAAATACAACGTGCACTTAGTGTTGTTATGTTGCAGTGATTTTGTTTTTGCATTCAGTTACTAAGAACACACTGGAATTATTTGGTTAACAGCTCATATTAAAGTGAGATTTTTGATTTTGCAATATCAGTCTATCCAAAAATATATACCACCAATCCGTGTATCATTCATTCATTCGTTTTTCCAAATAAAACCAAAAATAAGAAAACGAAAAATCTGTTTTCTTCATTACTTGTCCTCAAAACCAAAATGAAAAAACGGACAAAGATTCGTGTTTTCAGTTTTCAATTTTGTGTTTAAATGAATAATGGAAAAAATGGATAAAGGCTGTTTCACGTATATGTGATTTAAACTGCGATGCCGAACTTTTGCACCACATACGGACCAGGACTATAACAGGACTAAAACAGGTCTAAACCAGGAATGAACCAGGACTGAACCAGGACTAAACTGATCTCAGTCCCGGTCTCAGTCCCGATCTCAGTCTCAGTCCCTATCTGGTCCCGGTCTTAGTCCCCGTCTGGTTCTGGTCTCAGTCCCAGTCTGGTCCCGGTCTCAGTCCCAGTCTAGTTGAGCAATAAAAACACCTATAAGTGAATAAATGCCTAGTTTAATGCCATACCGTGGATTATTCCAGCCAGAGCAGTAACATTTTGGCCAGAAAAATGAAATTGTCCACTTACATTCAAAGGGACTGTATAGGATTTCAGTATAAAGAAAAATTTGTCATGCTCCAATATAGGGTCATAGGGTCAAAATAAGAACCAGAAAGTAAGGCTGGTGCGCTGTTTGCATGCTAGTTGTTGTTAGCAGTAACAGCAAAACTCCACTCTGGTCTCTAAGAGTTGAGAAAAATGCTTAAAAACTCATTATGGTGAGTAATAAGGATGCTCTGAATGCAAAAAGTGAAGAATAACTTTGGACCACTGCAAACAGTATAAAAGTAGTTCTGTTTTTCACATTTTTAAGGCTGTAAAAGTCTTGTACAGTGCCTTTAAGCTTTATGTTTTTGTGGAGCTGGTACCTTCTCCCACTTTGATGTAGATGTCCTGGGTCATGCGCATCTCGGAGAAGGAGGTGACAGCCTTGTACTTCTTTTGGGCCCAGTTGAGGAGGTGCTCATTTCCATGGGGCAGATTCTCCTTCAGGATGTGAGAGTGAGAGAGAGCCAGGTCTGAGGACTGGAACTGGACCTGTGAGTCTTCTGAAACCTGGAGGAGAGAAAACAATAACATGTGAGCAGGAATGCAGGTCAGTTCCATATGAGTTTCAGTTAATATAGGCATTTCATTTTTATATAAAGTGAAAACTACACTGGGACAGCTAATGGCAAATGCAGATGTCTTAATGCGTAGTACCAGAGTTCTGCCAAGTCGTTGTTTTGCAAGTCTAAAGCCTCAAGTCTGAGTCCCGAGTCCCAAGTTCCAAGTCAAACAGAGGCAAGTCCAAGTCAAGTCTAAGTCGTCTGCTTTGAGCTTCAAGTCATTTCAAGTCTGTTTTTGCAATTTATATGCATTTTAAGATAAATTGTACATAAAAAATCATAGTATATTTATATATGACTATTTATAGAGTATATAAGAGTAGCAGAAATTAATTTAGTTATTCTTTCTTTTTTAAATGTCTTGACAAGATCTGTGAATCATTATGGTCAGAATAGAAAGAATTCAAATTTAAAAGTGCTTCTCAAGTCTTCTCAAGTCAGTCAAGTCCCAAGTCACTGACCTTAAAGTCCAAGTCGAGTCCCAAGTCTTAGTCCATTTTTTTCAAGTCAAGTCTCAAGTCCTAAAAATAATGATTCAAGTCTGACTAGAGTCCAAGTCACGATTTGCAAGTCCCCACCTCTGTGCAGTGGTATCAATTTGTTTCCGTGGGTATCTAGGTTTTTGATTTAGTGAGATAATTTTTCCTTTCACAATCGCCTGCATGATTCAATAGAAAGTTAAAACCATATTTCGGAACCTTCTCCATGGACATTAATATGTTTTATACTGTAAAAAACTAGTCACAGAAACAACCTTTATTTAGTCTATATTCTAGTTTTTTTTTTAGCAAATTGGCTATCGGACTTAAATCTCCGATCCGCCATCGGCTGCTCTGGATTCTAAACAATCGGCATAAAAACACCCACATTATTCCATCTGTAATTGTGAGATTTTTTTTTTTTTAACAATTCCTAATTTGGTTTTTCCTACACAGTACAGTGGAGCACCGGCCAAACACCAAGTACACAGAGCCAGCAATGAAAAAGACTATGATGGAATAAATAAAAAACAAACCACACACTAACTGTAAAAAAAAATAACTACATTTCCATTCTTTCCACAACACTGCACGGTCTGCATAAGAAATAAGATTGGACGCAAAAATGTTGAAAGTCTCAGAACAGAAGAACGCTGAACATGAATTGTTCCGTATGCCTCTATGCAAGATAACTTTCATGTCATTGTGTTCAGCAGACTTTTACAGTAAGATTGGGTGGATAGAGAGCAAGTCAAGGCCAAAACCAGGCCTGACTCATTGGAAAAGGTCCCAGGAACAATTACAAAACCCAAACAGATCAGGGCCAATGTTAGACCTGGTCCAAACTCGGAGTATAGGAAAATAGGACTGCGTAATGTGATACACGGCACGCTGCAATGGTCTTGGCCAATTCTGAAATCCTTGAAAGCCAATGTAAGAACAAGCACCAGAACCAAGCACAAACAGCTTAAAACTTTTGATTCAGTTATGATATATTACGGCCTAATGCATTTACTGCCCTTTTCTAAGCCAGTCAAGTTTCCATCCAACCAAATGCACTCAATTTATAAAACACATGTGATAAACAAGCCACTATTTCACTATTTTCACCAGTGCTCATTAAAGGAGAATTATGTAACTTTTCTGGTGAATGGTCCGCTACCTGTTGTCTTTAAGGAGATTTTATTGTTGCTTTACCTGTACAGTATGGCACTAAACAATCCTATCTCAATGGTGACGTGCATTACGGACCAGATCTGTGGAGACGTTACAACCCTGTCCGCAGTAAGAATGCATACTGAACATTAAATCATCTGGGAAAAGCAATCACATTTCTATGAAGAAAAGGTGGCAGACTCTTCAGTTGAAAAGTAACATGGTGCAGGTTTAAATGAATAAAAACAGTATAGAAACAAAACAAAAAAAACTGAAATAACCAATACAATAAAATGAAAAAAAAAAAAGTATATAGTTTAAGGTATCTTTCCCATAGGGATATTTATCGTCTGCATTTGACCTTGGCTTAGCTTTCAATGCCACTGTGGCACCTCATCAGGAACATTGTGCACCACAGTGCCACACGTCAGGACCCATGTACTGATGTTGAGCTAATCTTGGTCAGGACTACCTTAGCTGGAGAATTGTATCTACATCTGCATATTTTTGGGTTGATGGGGGAAACTGGTAGTGTGATTCATCAGCCGGTTTCACTTTGTTGAAACCGTCTGACCTCGCAGCATCAGGATTTGTTTGCTTGACGGTCGGCGGATACTTTATTTAACCAATCTCTGCTATTTAATCGTGACATATGTAATGTGCCAAATCCTGTAGGAAGAAGGGCAATAAGGTCTTTCCTCTTGATAAACATTCTCTTTAAATCCTCGATCTCGGGAATCAAAATGTGTGGCTTCGTCTACAATCATCTTGACCGCTTTGTTTACTGTTGTGCTGTACCACAAAAGGGATCCAGACAGGCACTTGAGTTTGACGTCATGACTTCACAGCTCTTCGCTGATCGGCTGGTGCACAGTCTACAAATTATGGGGTTCTTGTAAACCATCCAGTGTATTCCAATTCCTGACCTAGTCGTTGGAGAGAAATGAAATTGAGTGGAGGCACTAGGTGGCGTCAGCCTGGCTAGGAAACTGGAGCTGAAACAAAACCAGACACAGGGAGGAACATGACACCTCCACATGAAGGAATTGAACCTGGAACCTTCTTGCTGAAAAGCATGAGTGCTAGCCATTCAGCCACGAGCCTATATTACAAAACTATAACTATACGTGCATAGCTGTCAACACAGTGTTAGTGTTTTCACAAATATGCAGCGTGGGAGAGGTGTTGATGTGGGCTGAAATATAAACTGTAAAACGATATGTCCTTTGCCACAACATGGCGATGGTAGCTGCAGGTGATGAGTTTGGTAATAAAAATATACCTAAGTCTATTATAACAGCTTAAATCCAGGGCACAATCTTTTCTTAAGGTACAAATCTCACGTCAATAACAACATAAACCACAGGAAAGAGCCTGAAAATGTGTTGATTTGAGTCAGAAGGAAACTGGCCTTGGTCTTAGTATGAGAGACCACCCCTTTGGCATAATAGCCTGGCTCATATGCTTCACTTCAGATAAACATTCACATGTGCTGAAAAACGACTCAACGCAACACGGTCTAGACGGCCTACCTCATTTTTATTTCCACGCAAGTTGTGTTTTTGAAATCCCTAGGTATCTTGTTTGCACGCAGCAACAACTCGCTCATAACATTAAGTCCAAAAGTGTATCTGGATTTAAAGTGCATATGACAGGTTTTCATGTTATTCTAATGAGTACTTGGATTGGTGGGATAGTACATGTGGTAAATATTTATTATAGTTTTACAGTCAAGTTGCAGTTTAAGTGGAAAAAGTTGAAAAAAAAAATCAACCTCTACCTACAGTATGTCATCAACACTGAAAAATTTGTCCAAATTAGATGGATTGTTTATGCAAAGTGAAAGCATTTTTCTGGATTTAACAAAATGGTGGTGTTGTTTTGTTTTGAGTAAAATCTTAAATATTGTGTTATTTAGATAAGCTTTGGCCACAAGAGACTATATCACCAAAATTATCACGATATATCGATACCAAACCTACCAGACCAGTCCTCCTGTTATTCTGCACTGACGCCTTTGAGGACACTAAGAGACACAGTACTAGTATGTTACTTCAGCTAAACCTTCCCTCAATCAATAGATCAATAAAGTATCTATTGTATCTATATATAAAGTATCTATTTCTACCTTTTAACGTTATTACTGCTAAGTATCAGTTGAAATCATAGACTGTATATATGCTTCGAGCAGGGCGGCGCTCCTGGTTCCAACAATTGACTTTACATTTACATACATTTTTTCGCAGTCATTCTGATGATAATTAAGCAGCAGCTTGAGAATTTTCTCTTCGCGCTTTACATCTGTCAGCTGAGGAGGAGAAGGGAAGAGTGTTGGAGAACCACTAGACTGCTCTACCTCAGCCCACTCCAGCATCCCGCTCGATAATCTAAAGAGCAGAGCAGGATGAAAGTCCAAAGCAAGAACCGGTAGAGCCGAATCGTCCAGATTGTGTCAGAAGGGCGACCCAATGAGCATGCGTTAAATTGAATGACTGCATTTATTTTTAAGAAGAATAAAAGTTTACATGATTGAAGAATACATTAATTCGACTTTAAAATCGTAATAAACCATCCACTTACTTCTTAATCTGAAGTTTAACTCTGAATAATCTTCATCTTCTTTTCATTAGGAATTAAGTGTTTACATGGTCTTTTTAGCACAGATTTTATTTTTATTGAGAACTAAATTATTTTTATTCAGAATTAAAGCTCTTGTAAACATGGCAACACTCCCTTAGACCTCTTCTTTATACAGTTTATAGTTGGAGTTTATGTATGTCATATCTGCTGCCTGTGATCAACCAGTAAGTATACTTATAAACTAAACTTAAATGTAAAAAAGATAGAGCAAAGACAGATTTTGAGTAAAAATAAATCATGATGTTTACTCGCTGAAACATTTAATGAAACGAGCAGTCAAACTTGTCATCTGCACTTTACACAGCTATTCTTCAAGATGGTGTTATGAAACAAAGAGCAGACAGTACTTTATAGATAACAGTTGTATTCCTACGGGCCATGAGGAGCTTTCAGACATAACTTTATTTCAATGCATCTCAACATGTGTGTGACCCTTGGACGCTCCTCTCTGCGCTTCTGGCATCGTCACCCAAAGCAGTAAATAAGATATTGAGATACTGAGCTACGTTTTCTTATACACTTTTTAGTCTGTTTGCTACAAACAGATGGAACATGGGACTTTGGTCGTTATATCGACAACTACTTGACAATTACTTTGGAAACTGCTGTATGTTTATATAACGTGTTGCTTTGGATATGACTGAGTGCATAGAGTCTTTAAACCACTTTATAG